TTTTAGGCGGTCGTCTAAAGATGCCCGCCTCCATAAATCTATTTTCGGAGGCGGGCACGATGTAAGGCCCGCCTCCGGAAAGGCCGAGGCCCAACAGGCCCCGAGATCTGACTTTAAGTATAAATACATAGACTTTACGGTTTTCACTCCTCTCTCCCTCTGTCTGACCGCCTCCCTCTCCCACCGAGCGGCCCTACGCGAGACCGAGCCGTCTCCCTCTCCGAGACGCTCACCTCCCTCTCCACTCCGGCTTCCCTCTCCACTCTGACCTCCCTCTCTCAGTGGCGCGCGGAATCCCCATGCGGTGGCGGCGGCGCGCCTCTCCTCCCACCGGCCTCCCTCGTCGCAGAACTAGCAGATCTGGTTGGGGCGCTCGTGTCCTGGCGGGCGAGCTCCTCCCCATGTGGCGTCGAGCTCCCTCCACCATGGCTGCTTTGGCGCGGCGCGCAGGGCCGCGGTGGCTGGCGGCGCATGGGGCAGCGGTGGCATAGGTACGCGGAGCCGCGTTGTCGAGCGGCGCGCGGGTCACACAAGCAAGGAGGACGCGACGGCGGTGGAAGCCGGCCAGATCTGGTGGAGGACGGCCAGATCCGGTGGAGGACGGGCGGATCCAGTGAAGGACAGCTTCGTCGGTGGCGGGGGGTTAGTTACGGCTCGCCCCATCTCCCTCTCTCTTCCCCTCTTCATCTCCCTCACTCTTCCCTCTCTCCCCTTTGCAGATCTGTAGCGAGCAAGCACGGCGGCGGCGGACTGGAGTCTGGAGCCGGTACGGACGACTGCGGCTAGCCAGCGGACGGTGACGCATGGACTGCCGGCCTTGGGGATGGCGACAGGGGCTGGAGCAGCGGACGACGATGGCGAGAAAGCACGGACGACTGCGGCGATGACGGCTCCAGAAGCTGGAGCCAGCTCCAGGGCCTGGAGCTTTTTTTATTATTTCAATTGATTTAGGCAGGCGGGCGTCGTACTATGCCCGCCTCTGTTAATCGGACCGCTTCCGTTAATCGATTAACCGAGACGGGCAAAGCAACCGCCTCCGTTGTTCATCGTTAACGGTGACCTGTGATCGAAGGCGAAATGCGGTTGCAATGTCCGTCTCCGTTAATAAAAAAACGTCGGTCTCTATTAAGATTTATGTAGTAATGGCGGCCGGGAGAAAGCCTGTGGCCGTCGTCGCCACTGGCGTTCTACTGCTGCGGGCTCTGATGATGTCATCTGGCTGGTGTGCTCCGGGCAGAGCACAACCGAGCCCCGAGCGGAGGCGGCGGAGTTGCTCTGCATCTGCTCCGTGGATTCAATTCAATTTCAAGACAGAGGGACCGGCCGGTTCTTGTCCGGCCTTCTTCCTTGCTACTGCTGGTACGGTGGCGGGTCTTGTCATTGTTTGTACATACACATATACATACAGGTGGAGGCGGCGGGTGCTACTGCTGATGATGACTTTGGTCCATGTATGTCCAAATTCGGTGCTATTGCTGTGCTGTGTTGTTTACCAGCGTTGGATGCACTGTATATGTTGTTTCTGTGTGCTGTTACCAACGGGTTAATAGTCTTGGGCCTGTTCGGCTGGCTAAAAAACGGCTCATGCTGATTTGTTGTGGGAAAAAAATATTGTTATTTCGCTGAAACGGTACTGCTAATAAGTTCAAGTGAACAGAGCCTGTTTGATTTTAAGTAATAAAAGAAGAAGACGAGTTGGAAACATTAACTCACTCACTGACTGATACAGGCACAAGCTCAATTGATGACTGTCTTGTCTTGTGCACCGTTGTACGTATTGTATGTGTATGTGCAACCCTTGGTCGTCCCAGACAGACACAGTTTGGATTCAAGTTCAACTAACGTGCTTTTCTTGTGTTGGTTGAAGCAGCCGACTGCTGACACCGACAGGGAGGGGCTGTCTAACAACGTACAGTCTGACAAGAGATTTCGATCAAGCTAATTAATCACCCACGCATCCCCCTCCCTACCACAGAGCACAGGTCTTGTTCTCCTGCGATGAAGGCCCACCAAACATACTTTGATTGAACACGCACACAGACCAACTGAGATGGGCCGGGCCTTTTCTGCTGCGTCGTCGTGTAACGAATGGAGGGCCACCTCCCCGGTGGTAATCAGCATAAGCATCAGCGAAAGATATAATTATCACTGGTGGTAATTATAAATAAATAAATAAATAAATAAATAGGGTCTCCAGTACAGTTACAGCACAGTGATCCTACTGCTTGAGTTCAGGACCGTCACTGTGCTGACACGCGTTGTGTTATGGGTTACGGCGAGACCTTATTACATATTACGTGATTTTTTGTCAAATTTTGCTCTGGGTTTTAACGTACGCGCGGCGTTGTTTGGAGAACCTGAGATATAGCACCGCGTTGTGTTTTTAAGTATTTAATAGGAAATTAAATACTATTAGCGTGCTATATCTTTACTGGGGGATAGTTCCAATTGATAGCCAATGCCAAGCATAGGTAAACGAGAATTTTTCTTTCTTCATCACAAGATCGGTAGAAATGATGGACAAGCTAACTTAAAGCATATATATCACAAAAGATATGTTAAAGGGATTGTTTGGAGAACCTGAGGTGACTTCCTTTACTCTTGATGAGTCTATAGGAACTTGGAAGCTAAAAAACATTTCGATAAATGCTAATGATGATGTTAGTAAGCTTTTCCAAGCAATAAAAGACATTCGATAAGGAGGTTCGCTTTCTGCTCTATCATCTTAATAGTGTCACATACCATTGATGATAATTTATCTATTTTACAATATGCGGATTATACATTTCTACTACTAGAACATGATCTAAAGCAAGCTCACGTGGCAAATGATTGTTTCACGTCCTTACAATGGTTAATACAAGTTCAATGGAAATCGAGGACTCTTATTTTTGGTCTTGCCTTTCAAAGGTTAAGTATGATTTTGTTCGCTTTGGGTCATTGGTAGCGAAAGATGGAACACATTTCATGTTTCCTAAGATAAATGTGTGAAATGCAACATTGCAGCCCCAACATCTTTGTCTTTATAACATAGCCGGTCCTTCTATTTAATTTGTAATTAGCAGAAACTTTTTATAGGGTGTTTGGTTTTAGGAATCAAACTATTCTGGACGAGATGGTGCATCATGAATTCATTCGTCAAATTTACTGAACCAGGTGATGATGCATCAACCCATTTCATTCCACAAATCAAACAAAAATGTGAGCGATGACAAGATGAACTAATCCATTCCTGAAACTAAACACCCTGTCTGTTCCTCCTCCAAATTCCTCTTGGCGTAGGGATTTCATTGGTTGTACGTTAGTATCATAAGAGCGAAAAAGTTACGACACATTGCTAACATTGAAGTAGAACAAGAGCAAGATTTAATTTATTGAAATTTAAATCCGAATGGGTAATTATTCTCAATAAAATCACTTTGTATTATTTAGCACTAATTCATGAGGGTGTCCCTATAATATAAACAAATGTCCATGCAAATTGAAATCACCTTTAAATATCTAGATTTTTCAATGGTACCAACACCCAGAGGAATAGTGGCAACCAAGCATAATCTTCCTAATAAGCCTTCATGATTTAGCAAAAACATGCTATAGTTTTAAAAGCAAGAATCTATAAAACGAATTTGACATCAAGAGAAATAAAAATATCTGAAGCTAATTTAAAAATCTTCCTGTCCTATGTCCAAAAATGCAAGAAATCCCCGCCATGCGCCATTACTCTGCTTCCATGCAAACAAACGAAGCAGAGCAACCAGCACTCTGCTTCGCCTTCCTCCTCCTTTCGTTGCTCTGTTCCTCGCTACGCTTCCAGCGACTGGAGCGGCGCCGCCGGTGCGGCGCGCTGCAGCCGCAGCCGCAGCCAACGCCGTCGCTGCTCCAAGGAGATGGTCCGAGCGCTGCTACGCCCTGACGAGGATCTCCTCGAGCGAGACGGAGAGCTCGAGGTGGTGGCGCACGGACGCCGAGCTAGGTGTTGGCGTGGGCGACGGCGTGGGCGTTGTCTCGGCGCGGCACATCGGGCAGCTGGTGCTCCCGCGCAGCCAGGTGTCGATGCACTCGGCGTGGAAGTAGTGCATGCACTCCGGCAGCACCCGCACGGCCTCGCCGTCGTCGAAGTCCGCCAGGCACACCGGGCACGTCGTCTCCTTCCAGGCCTCCTCCTTACGGTACCGGGACACGACCGCCGCGGCGACGAGGTGCGTGCGCGACGTCGCGCTCACCTCCACGCTGACGCTCGCCTCCTCCTCGGCGTCGTTGTCCTGCTGGTGCCGCTGCGCGTCGGCCGAGGTCGTGGTGACCACGCCGACGACGCGGCGGTGGTGGTGCTGCCTGCGGCGCCGCCGGTCGGCGTCGTGGCAGCAGTTGACGAGGACGCAGTGGTACAGCAGCAGCACGGCGGCCACGCACAGCGCGCTCACCAGGGCGATGAACGCCGGCGACTTGTACGCATCGCTGCTCGTCAACCACGACAACGACATGGTGGCGGTGGCTATGGATCTAGGAGAGGCCCTGCAGCTGAGGCAGCGGCGCCATGGCGCATGGTCGATTTGACAGGGCGTGATCGGAGCGACCCCCGTGCAGTGCCTTATGAGCGGCAGGGCAAACGGCCAAGCCTCGCAGCGATGGTTACGAGGGATCTCTCAGCTGTTGTTGTCTTGCCGTCGGATGCTATTGATGGAAACGTCCATGGCCGTGTTCATGTGCCTTCGTGTCTCCTTGTGCTTGGAACCGAACAGCTCGGTCTTCTTCTACTCATCAGTGGCCAGGCCAACATACTTAAAAGATCGATCGATACATGATCCACTGTGTTGGGTCACTAATGACACGACTAGAGAATCAGTACCAAGCTAATACAACTGCTACAGTAACAGCTGTCACGACTAATTGCAGCCCTAAGCACTCTGCTTATTCTCTGACCATAAGTGCAGGTCACGTGGCATGGAGGATGCATCTGCCCGGAGACGAGACGACCCGAGAGGCAGCCAAGGCGACGGACGCTAGAGGTGGCCGGCGAGGACGCTGTCGGGCTTGGGGCAGAAGACGACCTTGATCTCGCCGGGGTCGACGCAGTCCTGGGGCGTGACCTCGACGTCCGTAGCGTTAGTCCTCGTATCAGGGCACAGGTGTTTGAACAGCGCCGCCTGGGTCGCGCCGGCGCCGCACCCTCCCCCTGGCGCCCGTGCCGCAACAGGGCACTCGGCGGCGAGGTCCACGGCGCATCCCAGCGTGGGGCACCGCCGCCCGCGCCGGGCGCCCTCCGGCGGCGGCATCCCGTGCGGCGTAACCACGACGGCCACGTTGAATCCGTCCACCAGGCTCACGCTGTACGCCGCGGCACCGCCCGGCCCGCCCACGCTCACCTGCGCCACCGTCACCGGCGGCGCGTCGCCCGTCGCGCACCGGAACGGGGCCGGCGGGACCGTGTTGCCGTACGCGTCGACCTCGTCGTCGTCGTCCCCGCCGGCGCACCCCGTCCGCGCCACCACGCGGCCTGACCACGCGCCCGGCGGGAACGCTAGCGTCGCTAGGCCCTCGCCGTTGCCGTCCAGCCGCCCCGCCGGCTCGCCGTCGGCGTCGGTGGGGATCGAGGGCACGCCCGCGTTGGGGGTCACCAGCGGCCAGACTGGGTACGGGCAAAGGTTGTGGAGGGTCAGGTTGGTGGTGGTGGTGGTGGGCACTCCCGGCGACGGCGGCTGACGGGCAGCGACGGCGACAGTGGCGAGAACCAAAGTCATCATCAGCGCTCCTATCGTCTTGGAAGACGGCGACATGATGGCCATGGCTGCTGGTGGAGCGCGATGGAACTGTACGTCGGCGTCGCAGTGACGGATGGTATAAAACAGGGAGGAGGTGGATCGGGAACGGTGGTGGTTAAGTCGCAGTAAACGCATGCATTTGCATTTCGTCGGCACGCATGGCGCCGCCAACTTTCATCACTCATGCACTTTTTCACTTTGCATTGGCAGGAATTGCATGTGCAAACGACATGACACCGGGCCCACCCGTCAGGGTCTCGGGGACACAGTGGCACAAGGGCTTATTTCAGGCCTCAGAAATCTGCAGAAAGCCTTTCATCTACCACCAGCATGCATGGGCCCATATGTTCACCGTGATGGCTTGTTTGTCTTCTGGGCTTCATTCACGAGCTGCAACAGCCTCTGTCAAAAATGATTAGGCCCATTCGTGACAGGCCAGACAGGACACAACGTTGGGGGATGGATATCAAGTGAGGCCGGCCCATTACCTCCCACCAGCGCGCCAGTCACTAAGCCACCCCAGCCCAACAATGTACTAGTAGGCTTGTAGTCACTACAATATAGTGTTTGGGCCATGTTGGGTTTCAACTTTGCAGATGGTACTGGTCGTAGTTGGTTGGGTTCTCTGCGGTGCACCTGGGTTCAAATTCCTTAACTTCATATGGTACTCGTATTTTTCTGGATTTATTCCAGGATTTAACAACGCTCTACTTTCCATGGTAGGCGATGTCACTGTCGACAACGAGTCATCTATGGTGACTTCGTGAATTTTAAGATCGGTCGACTCAGTCTTTCGAAGATGCTCATAGGGATAGGGTTTCCGTACGCGTGTTTATAGGGTTGAGTGCGCGTGCATGTTGTAGACGTCTATGTTGTACTGTATAATTCTAAAAAAATTCATTGCAATAAAGCAGAACAAGCTAGTTCAAAATAAAAAGAAAGAAAAAAAGAACAACAAGCTTAATTAAACGATTTCTCTGCCATAACATCAAAATTGACAAAAAACAAGCTTAATTAAACGGTTTCTATGAGGTAACATAAAAAATGGTAAATAAGTTTTGGGAACTTGACGTTGTACTGTGTAATTGTCAGGTTTATGAACCCGGGGTCCCCAATGAACCCGCTTCCCGGCAAAAACTTGGCCCAGCAGACGGCATAACGACAATGCGCGCCTCCCGGGCCGACCCATATACATAATGACAGGCCGGGACAACGATCCGGTCCCCGATCGAAAGGCCTGGCCAAGATGGGGACACAGTCCGACTCTGACCTCCTTTTCCGACCGGGGATACGCTGGACCTCTGCTCGCGACTCTTTCTCAACCGACACGGTCGGGGCCGACTAGAAACGACCGACCGGGGACGCCTGCTCGGTGTGGGCCCGGGGATCAGACGGAGCAGATAAGGTAAGGCGCTCAAGTCAACCACAATACCGAGGACCGTACCTTGTCATACCCTGCGCACCTGCAGGACGGTGCCACCAGGCCAAGCCAGACGGGCACTATGCAACCTTCCAGACGTGTTAGAGCACAAACAGTATTGTAGGCGCCGATGTTTACCATACCAGACGAACACGGTAGAGCCTGCCACATGCATCTGGACATAAACAATATTGTGTGCACAAACAGTATTGATAGCGATGCCGCACAATTCTTTTTTATGTCGGCTAGGGCAGTCTACGAGTGGGAGTTCCACGGTTTTTTCGTTTACCTTCACTACAAAACAGACCTTTCATCCCGCCTCTATTTTTGCCTTTAGTCCCGGTATTTTTGCGTTCGGGACTAAAGGGACTATTAGTCCTGGTTGTATCCTCAAACAAGGATACAAAGTTCCTGCCCCAAGTGTATGGCGACGGCAGGCAACAATTAGTCCCGGTTATAGCCCAGAGCCGGGACTAAAGGTTATCCTTTAGTCCTGGCTGGACCCTCCAACCGGGAATAAATCTTTACTCCCGGCTTGAGGCTCCAGCCGGGACTAAAGGCGGCTCTGAGCTATAACCGGCATAAAATCTTTCTTAATAAAATAATATAGTCGCGTTGGACAAAAAAAATGGGGTAGCCAGGCATTGAACCCACGACCTCGTAGCCAAGGTCCAAACTGCAGCGCACTAGCTAGCCATCTGAACTAAGTCACTTTCTCGACAAGAAAGCACCCAAATATTTATTTAATAAGAGAAAAGACCCTTTAATTGATTATATTCTTTTGTTAACTATACTTTGAATTTTTTGGTCCATGTGCTTTCTAGTGCCTGATTGATCTCATAATTTTTATCAGGGTTTCAAATGCCCAGTGTGAAGCCACCACCAAGTTCAAGATTTTTCTGAATTGGTTTGGTAAATTTTTCACTTTAATTGAATTTTCACGCGACTTCACCGATTAATTATACGTTGAACTGAGTCCACCCCGAAAAGATCCGGAATTGTGCCAAACTTTGCCAAATGGTCTCTTGTGCCTTAGGAGACAAATATTTGTGGAGGTTGATGCAAAATTATATTGTTTTCAATATGTAATTCAGCGTATTTCGTCTCACGCGGCACAAAGAAAAATGTAATAAAAAAATAATTATCAGGAAAATCTAAGATCTTGTGTGGGGCCATATTTTGGGTGTAAATGACTGCCAAAAAAATTTCAAGCCATTTCGATATAGGCGGAGTCGACGTGCTTCATATAGGTATATATAACTTTTCGTCGAACCCTATCTATACACCTAGGTTCTCTGGGACTCTGAAGTCCATTTGCTTTCCAGTGCCGGATTGGTCTCAAACTTTTTCTCAAGACTACAAATGCCCTGTGTGTAGCCACCACCAAGTTTGAGATTTTTCTGAGGTGGTTTGGTTCTTTTTTAACTTTAATTGAATTTCCGTCCGAGCTCACCGATTAATTATACAATGATTAATGAAGAACCTAAAGATTTACGTTACAATTACGTGAAAACTAATTTCCTGTCGAAAACCAATAAATTTAATAATTTCAATTAAAGTCTACATTTTTGCATTAACGAAAATAGTGAGTATTAGTTGCATTATGTTCAACATTTATAATAAAAAACACAATAGTTTAGGTCACATATTTTTTTGTGTGTAGTAAATGAAAATAAAGTTTATTACTTTTTCTAAAAAAATTATGCATAGTATTGAATTTACTGCGCAAATAATAAGACTTAAACATTTAAATACAAAACATATATAAAATAAACTGATATGGTTAAAAGTTGGCGGGAAATGAAAATGTAGCCCACCTTTAGTCCCGGCTCCTGCCACCTGCTGGGACTAAAGGTGGGCTGCATTTAGCGGCCCACCAAAAAATCCTTTAGTCCCAGCTCCTTCCAACAGCTGGGACTAAAGGTCCCCCTTTTAGTCCCGGCTGGTGGCAGGAGCCGGGACTAAAGGTGCTTTAGTCCCGAGCGGTGCATGGAGCTGGGACTAAAGGTCCCTCTCCTATATACCGCTGCCTCCCTTCTCTCTTCCTCCTCATCGATTGTCTTCGTCTTCAGCGCGTCCCTAGAGCTCCGCCGTCACCGATTCACCTCCCCGGCCACCCCCGACGCCGCCTTGCTTCCTCACCGGAGGGCACCCCGAGGCTCGCCCACCTCGCGGAGTAGCCCACGCCGCGCGCCCCACCGAGGAGCCCCCCTGCCGCCCTTCGACGCTTGCAGGCGCCTGCGCCAGAGCCGATTTCGCCTTCCCGCCACCCCCGACGCCGCCTTCCTCACAGAGAGGGCACCCCGACGCCTCGCCACGTCGCCGGAGTAGCCTGACGCCGCCCCTCAAGGAGGAGCCCTGCTGCCCTCGACGCAGGCTTGGCCACGCCACGCCGATTTCGCTTTCCGGCCACTGCGCTTTCTTCTCACCGGAGGGCATCCCGACGCCACCCACACCTCGCCGGGAGTAGCCCCGACGACGCCACGCCTCGGCCAGAGCCCCTGTGCCTCGATCCAACGCCATTGCCCACCACCACCACGCCAACACTCCATTAATTCTAAACTACCAAGGTATATATATATATATATATATATTTATATTTATTATATTTATTAATTATATTGACGAAATGTGTATTAATGTATATATGTATGAAATTATATATGTATGAAATGTGTATATATATATCAATTAATGTATATATGTATGAAATTATGTATGTATGAAATGTGTATATATATATCAATTAATGTATATATGTATGAAATTAAAGTGTGTGTATATATATATATCAATTAATGTATACATGTATAATTTTTCCTTAGGAAAAAAAATTAATTGTGTTATATTCTGATACCATGTGCCCTATACCCTAAACCCTAAACCACCCTAAACCCTAAACCCTAAACCACCCTAAACCACCCTAAACCCTCCCCGGCCACCGACGCTGACCGGCCGCCCCGCGTAGGCACCACCGCCCCAAAATATGTATGAAATGTCTATGAAACCCTAATTACATAATTATTGTTTTATAATTGTTTAGGCTCTCTATGGCTGACCCGAGAGACGATGACCTGGAGGCGGAAATGATGGATATTATCAACGCCGGCACTGAACATTGTGCAGATGTTGATAATGACCAGCAGGAAGACGACGGGAGTCAATACTTGAATCTCGATCATATTGTTGAGGAAGTTGTTCATGAAGATAATTCCAGCGAGGTATAAATTTCTCAATATCTAGCTTTCATTTATTTATTATGCATACATGTAGCCCACTGCATCGACCTTCGTTTTATAATACTTTTTGTGTTTCTATGCGTACATAGCCGTCTGGATCGACGACGACGACGGGGAACACAAAGAATGTTCGAGGGGCCAAAAAGCCGTTGGAAGGCCGCTACATCATCTCAGAATTCAACGTGGCTACAGGCAAACCACTAGGACAATATGCATAGAAATTCGTGTACCACTTTGGGTACCTTGTAAGGGACAAGCTCCCGATCAATGCTCGTGAATGGAAAAAAAATAACAATGCTCCTCATATTAGTTATGTCTCTGATAAGGACAAGGAGCTGATTTGGCAAGATGTTCTTGCACATTTC